GTCATTTTATTGAAAAGAAGACCAAAAACACGGACACTGTGACGCACTGCTCCAAACCAGATGGGGTGTAAGATGAAATGAGAGGCGTGGGGAAATTCCTCCAGTCGAGCATCTGTGAGATTATAAACCAGAGGGAAATGTGTTCTCACACTTCACAGTCAAACCCAGTATTCAGTTTGATATTCAGTGAATCATAACAGTGGTCTGTTTTATGAATCAGTGCGTTGAGTGCAAAGCTCAAATGTGTTATAGAGCACCCAAATACAACTTAAACACATAAACACTAGCATTCCTGAAGTCGCTTATTCTTACATCATGTATAATGTAAAATGTGCACAATGTCAAACAAACCTTCATACTTGGAAGTTAATTTAATATGTTTTATTAATAATCCAGATACCAGAGGAAGTAGTAGAATGATAAAAACAAGTTGCCAGTATAATTGTGTTTTCCTTGTATGCATTCAGTTACAAACTCCCTGGGTTACAGTATCTTTACATCCTTGTAACATCAATGATCAGCAGCAACAGCCATTCTCTCGCTATACTTCCAGGCATTCACATAGAACACTGAAACACATGAAGCAGTCCTTTTACAAAAGTATACAGAGATGTTGGTCAGAAATAAACACCCACTTAGAGATATATTTACATGTTTTGTGTTGTGAGGACAACAACAACAACAAAAAAGATTAAAATAATGTGGTGCAAAAAGTACCCACAGGAACATCTGGTTCAATGATGTTCTGCAGTTCACTCCTCATCAAACAAACTGTTGTTTGCCACCCTGCATTACAGGGGGTACCTTGTAGAACATGTTAATATAGCTTAAATTAAACAGTACTGTTTCCGAGATAAAATCCGACATTAAGACAGATAAAGGTCCCTTCTCTCCAACATGGAGGACTGTGAAATAAGCATCTGGCTACTGTGGCTGAAAGGTGATCCAAAGGATAGAAGCTGTTGCGTTTACACAAGGCGACAGTCAAATATTGGGGATAAAGTTAGGTAAAGGGCAATATCATAAAACTAATGGTCAGCCATACACATACTTTTTTCAGGGTCAGGAACCTTAAACCAACTACACAAACCAAACATGGTGGTTGGAAGGAAAAAAAAACGGTTAAACTGTGTAACAACTGAAGAGTCTAATATACGACTGGAAGTCGTATATTAGACGATCTTACAGGCACTCAAAACCTCTGCTGACTTCTGACCTGACAAATCACATGGACCCCTTAGGGGCATCTCGGTGTGAGTGTCAAAACTACAGAATCTCATTCTGTACCACTGCTAACAAAAGTAAAAAAAAAAAAAAAAAGAATGGAAAAGAACAGTTAAATAAAAAGATCCTATACATAGACAGAGACAAAAAGCACCACAGAAAACCTGGTTTCGGTTTGCAGTTCGGTGCCACTTCGGGGTGCTACACTTTCTGCACATGTTGTGGCGCCAACCGCCGGCCTGACTTCTTGTGGCTACGTGCATACACCCGTAGGAAAAGTGCCAGAAAAACTACGGCAACACCAGATCCACCTATTACAGTGACAGCATGACCATAAAGAAAACAAGAGAGGAGAATGGCAATGGCCTGCCGCAGGGTCATAATGATAGTGAAGACAGCAGCACCAAACTGGCTGATGGTGTAGAAGATGAAAAGCTGGCCACATGCCGAACACACAGACAGCAACACGGCATGAAAGGCAAATTCAGAGTGCCGCGTCATGAAGGCCAGCGAGTCGAAGAAGGCACCCTGCTCGAGCAGCGAGCCGACGGTGAAGAGGCAGGAGAAGAGGTTGACCCCAAACATCATCTGCACCGATGACATCTTGTACTTGAACAGGTTGTCCTGCCAGTTGGAAGTGAAGCTATCAAAGACAATGTAGCCAGCAAGGATGACGATGCCGCTGAAGGTGGTGACAGTGGATGGGTGCTTGCTGGTCGTGCTGGACAATAGGAACATGCTGACACCCACTGAGATCAGCACTGCAGTGAAGTACTCCCAGTATTCATAACTTTTACGGGAGATGAGTTTACCCATGAGCATGACAGGAATGACTTTGGAGGCCTTGGCCAGGACTTGGGTGGGGAAGCTAATGTATTTGAGGGCCTCATACTGGCACCAGCTGCTCATGATGTTGGAGAGCGAGGCGAAGGAGTACTTGTACATGGGTGCTCCGTGGCTAGGTTGCTTAAACACGATGCAGTAGAGGCCTGACACAGTCAGAGCCAGGATACGGTTCATGAAGACCAAGAACTGAGAGTCTTTGAATTTCTCCCCCTCCTCTTTTGGAGTCGGGGCTCCATAGGAACGAGTCATCACTCTCTCCTGCAGGACTCCCCAAGTCAGGTATGATGCCTAATAATAGGAAAAATGACTTAAACCTTTCAGCACTGAAATTCATGCTTGACCTTTGAAGTTTATATATTGATAAAGAATTATGAAGTTGGGCGTTTAGCTTTCTTTTGGTAATATCTATGTCACTATGTATTTAAAGGTGCACTAAGATTTTTCACACCATCTTATAAATGAAGTGACAACTAGACAGGACATAATGTTGTCAAAGGACAGTCTGTAAATTAGCCCCACCTGCCACCTAGCAAAGGTTATATTTAAGTATTTTTTCTTTATAACCAAGAGTAGTCATTGTGAACATTCAGCTGTGGAGAACCTCTCATCTTCTACATGGCAAACCACGTTTGAAACAGTGGCAGCCAGATTGAAGAGGTCGTGTTCTTTTGCACAGAGAGAGTTGGACAAGGAAAAATCAGAAACCAGGTTTAACGCTGGTTTGAGATGGAGAATGTTAAAAGCAGGTGAAGGACATGTTGTTCTTCTTTCTGCATGTGTAATTATCTTAAACATGATTGTTTCTATTCATTTACTGATTTGTTCATTTTATTTATT